CCAACTAAAAAGTAGTTTGCAAAACAAACTCAGATTAACTAAATCTGACTGTGTGAGCGTCTAATAAATGTGCCCTATCATAACTGAGATTGATGGTTACATTAAGCCTTTAATACTGTAAAAAAGTTTGATATATTAATTGGAAGCTTTTGTTACTGGCTTTGTATTTTTCAATAAAGCGTAAACACAGTTTGGGGGTGGAGAGTGGTTTTACTAAGGTTGTCAGCATGGTAACTTGCAGGGGAATCCATCATATGGACTATGGATTGGAGCTACAACTGCAGTTTGTGTGTTGTGGGCAGAGATTCAGTTGGGGGGTTGATATTAGAAATCATGGATTAAGTGCTGAGAGTAAGTAGCTAGTGTAATATTTTGCATTTTTATGTATCATTTCTTACATCAGATGCTTTCAAAACATTTGAAAAATTAATCCTCTCTGTACTCCTGTGAGGTGGAAGTACATCCACTTCAGAGCTGAAGAAATGGAAGCAGATAAGTCAAATGATTTGTCTGAGGTCACACAGCACTTAAGTGGCAGCTCCAGGAGCGAACAAGGGAGTTCTGTCTCTGCCCCAAGCCATTGGACAAATACACTGGCTTCACTTCACTAAGACAAAATATTTTTACTTTTATGAATTGTTGCAGAAATGCAGAAGGTCAATGAGATTTGCTCAATATATTTTTTGAAATAAGCAAACTTGCCCTGGCTCTGTCCTCAGCAGACACCGTATGGTATTTGCAATACTTCTGCTGTGCAGCTGAGCTCTGCCAGAATGTTGTTTCAGTTAAAAAAAATGGACACCTTGCGAATATGTCCTTATTATTTACTATTCCTCTCTCACATCATCCTCCTAACAATGTGATAGCAGAAATGGTTTTATAACTAGAAGTAACAGCTGTGACCACACACAAGCATTAATCTAGAAAGCAAAAGTATGTTATATCTCAGGGAATTAACCTTCACCATTTAAGAAAAAAAGGTTCTTATCCCTGACTGAGGTCTTGTTGAGCTCCTCTGGCAGTCTGTTACATTTCACATTGAACTCATTTAAAAACAAACTTACTTAAGAGCAACAAGCTACCTATTGAGTTCATTTTAAAAGCACATTAACAGCCCCATGGATGTTTAATTCTTTAGTTACCAGCTCAGCATAACTGTCAACAGTAATATCTGAGCAATAAGAGGTTCTGTTAAAGCTAAGTTTGCTAGTGAATTCAGTGCATGTGCAAGTGAGGGACAAGTAGGGTTGGCTGAATCATGCAAGTTTCCCCACATACAGTTACGCCAGTGCATTGGAGTCATGATCTGCAGCACACCCAGTTATACCAATCCTGCGCACCTCTCACCAGCTCAGCCAACACCCTCCAAGCCTGACCTGCAACACTTTCCATCACGTCCCAAATATTCCAGATTGAATCATTATAGACTAGGGTGAGACAAACAAAATCACTTTCACCAATAACTAAGGCAAGAGCTGAATCTAGCTCTCAAGCTGAAAATCCAGCCTTACTCCACCAGCAACCAGAATATAAAATCATTGATACGGCAAGGATGGGATCATTTGTTCCCAACAAATGAATCCCAGCTATTTTATACAGAATCTAATGGGGCTACAGCTATCAACAAGCTTCACCTTGGGCAGCATGGATTTAGGATTGTAGCGCCTTTCACCTTCAGATCACACAAGTTCAAATCTGCACCGTGTCAGCTGTTACTGAGTGAAGCTGGCTGAAGACTTCACTCACACTGTCAACCCAGCCCCTGTCATCAGCACTCAAAGTTTCCCTTAATAGGATTTGAAAAGGCTAATGATTCACAACCATGAAAATTGTAAGTGCACATAATAGAAGGAAGATACAGTTGCTTTTTTTTTTTTGGTATGATCATCTGACCCATGGCTCTTTTCTCAGAACTGTTTCTAACCACAGATATCTAGAACAATTGCTCAACATGCTGACTTCGCCAGCCCATCTGTCAAAGTTCTTGGCAGTATTTACTTCCATTTCCCTAGTTTCAGACTCTAATTTTAATTCAGAAAAAGAACCCACAGGGACTTGGCCCAACAGTCCTTGCTCAGGCAGATCTCCTATTGAGGTCAGTGTGAGCTCTGCTTGAGCAAGGACCACTGCTTGAGGGCCAAGATTATCCATTTTATTTTTACTACTGTCTTCTCTCCTTACTGACTACAAGCCCCCCTTTGAGATATTTGAATTTGCAATGGATTATTATACCTGCTGGCAGCAGACACTGATTTGGCTTTAGGGGAAAAAAAATATCAAAACATTTGATTTAGAATACACCCCGCAGAGAAGCACATGAATTGGAAAACAAATACAGAAGAAAAGACAACATTTTAGGCCTTCCAACTTTGCAAGTGCTCTAATATACCAATAAGGCATTAATTGTTATTGTGGATATAAATGCCAGTAAAAGCATTTTAACAGTGGTGTTTATTATGAGACAATCCAGTTCAAGAATGCACTTGCAATTGCACTATATATTCCCTCCTCCCCCTTTTTTAGTATATGTTGATCTTTGAAAAAGTGTTACACAACAGCAGGACAACATCAGAAAGATAGTTCTTACTGTTGTCTTCTTCGGGCCAAATTCTCCTAATTTGCACCCTTTAAATCTCATTAACATTGGAGCTGCACAAAAGCAGAATTTGGCCCTATTTCTTTTAAATGAACTGGATGACATGGTGGGGAGGGGAGAGAGGTCAGGCCCCGATCAGTGAACCAAATTCTCCCCTCAGATATATACATGCAGTTCCCACTGGTTTAAATGGGAGTGATCCAGGTAGCCAAATGGCCCCGATTTTATTGCTACTTTAAATACAAACTGGAAAGAGAAAAGGAGTACTAGTGGCTGTAGCTCACAAAAGCTTATGCTCAAATAAATTGGTTAGTCTTTAAGGTGCCACTTTTAAGTCCTCCTTTTCTTTTTGCGAATACAGACTAACACGGCTGCTACTCTGAAACTGGAAAGGTTTCTGAAGATTACAGGCATTCCTGTAAAGCAGCTTTTTATGAATATAAGTGGTCCCCTTTTGTGCTTCTTCCTCCTCAACCTATAAGAAAAATTACAGGACCTATTTGTTTTTGACTGGGGTAAATCTAAGGGTTTTTTTTTTTAAAAGCACTTAAAACCCCGTAATTTAAAACTGGAAACATTACTTGGAACACTCACTTTGACAGGAGACAGAAAGAGAGAGCTTGTGACCCATATGTAAACAACTGTGGGAGTCATCCTGTCAGGTGATGTCAGGAGTCATCCAGCAAGGTGAGTTCAGCCAAATGAGTCCCCTGATGGGGCAATGATATTCCTCCACAGTAGAGGCAAGAAAAGAAATCACCGTCATGTGAAAGTCTGGGTGTGGTTTTGGGCCGTGCTTTGGTTACAAATAGCAATGTTTCTCAATTAGTGAGACATCTCTCTGCAGTGAGGAAGTGAAAACCCTCCTGGCACATACTCTCAGGCATGTCAGCTCTAATGTGGATACACCATTCAAAAATGGCCATATTAACCAGGTTCAGCAAACACTAAATTTCCTTCACTGCTTGTCAATCCCCTTCATGTGGCTTGAGAATATGCACCAGCTGTTGCTTTGTTGGACAGATTACAGGCTAGGCTAGTCAAGAAATCCTGTAAAGATGCCTTAGACTCCCAAGCTAATCAAAGATTCCTTAAGTATTTATCTCTGGGTACAGGTCAGGATGAGCTGTATGGCATCAGAGCAGAATGTTCATTCATAAACTTCTTTGGGGTCAAATTTTGCATAGAAGGATTGTGTTTAGTATTCTTCCCAGTGTCTCAGAGGTTGTCCTTAATTTCACTAGTTCTTTATCCCCTTCTCTTGGATCCTTAAGAAATTCAGTGTAGCTATGTGAACACGATGCTTTTGTTTTAGCCTACACAGCGAATGCCAGAAGCTTATTTTGTACCTTTCCCTAAAGATTGGAAGTCTTTTCTCACGAGTGCACACATACTCAGTTTCCACCTCCATATACCAGTAACACTATAGAAGCTAGTGTTCAATATGTACCCTAAAACACACTGTACTTTTGAGAAATTACTGCATATCTATTTCTATGATCTAGAGACAGGTCAAATGCTGATGCATAAAGCCAACTTTTAAAAAAGTTTATTGAACGGTTTGAAAAATATTTGATGTTTCAGGAATATGTAACAAGTTTCCAAAGCATTAACATGAAACATTAGGATTTTTAAAACGTAAGTATACACTGGATTATACTGTGTTACATCAGTTTTAGTACTTCAGTAACTTGCATTTTCCTTTATTAAAAAAAAAAAGTATCCTTTTGGATATCACCAACTCATTTTTCCTTTCAAAGGAGTAAATTACAAATCTTTAGGCCTTGCCTACATAGGAAAGGGTTTGAAGGTATAGTTATACCAGCAACCCACACGCTAGCAGAGATGCAACTTGTCTCAGTAAAAGAGGTCTTTTGCTGGTACAGCTTAAACCATTTCCACAGAGTAAGCTACACTGGCAAAAGGATGGTTTTTTTGCCAATATAACTGCATCTACACTAGGGCTTTTGCTAGAATAGCTGTATCAGTAAGGGGTGGCGGAAGAATCATGCCTCTAACTGACATAGCTATGTTACCAAAAACATTTCAGTATAGACCAGGTGTTAGTAACCTGCTTGTGTACGGCCAATTAGGAGAGACGGGTCTTGTAGTGGGGGAGGTGGGGCATTCTTAGAATTAGATAAATTCTTAAAGTATTAAAACACAAACTCACTGTTTGGGGTTTTTTGTTTAAGCAAAGCTGGTAAGAAAACAGGATTAAGTAGTTTGTCCAAAGTGAAAACTGAAGCATAAATCCACCAGGTTACTTTCTTCCCTGTAGTCATGGTTGTAGCTCTCTCTATTCAGCTGTGTAGCAATCCACAGATTTTTGTCATCAAGGTGGCTTTCATAGGCAAAACTATGAAGAAACTTCACTCAGAGCCAAATAATGCAACTGCCTGTGTATGTTAGATTAATTTTAATAAGAAACATAAGTCAAATTTAGAGGGAGTAGTTACATAGGGTTTTAGAGATTACATTTTATGAAATGTACACTGAAAATTGAAGTTCCATAATTTGCTACATGTAATGAATGATATTTACTATTATAAAAAAGCACAAATAAAAAAGGTGCTAAAATGCTAGATTTTAGCTTTTTTTTAAAAAAAAAAAACCAAGTTCTATATAAGCCTCATTTTTACTTATTTTGCCTTACCATCTTCTCAAATGGTTTATTTTTTCACTTCCTATCCAGCAAAGCCTTCTGTCCATTCTCATTCATTTTAGTATATTTATACACTAAATGTTAAAATTAAAGGCTCTACTCTGTTCCTTTTCCCAATTATTGCATTTTTAAATAGGGAAATGTATCTTTTTCCAAAACAAAATGTTTCTGTAGCTCAGAAAGTAAACAGCTATTCGAAAATTGAATACTCTGTCGGCTAAAAAACCCGTAAGCAACTTTAAGCAGTGATATAACCATTATACTGTAAATTCAAGTGAAAAACAAAGATCTAAAGGTTTCAGAGTGGTAGTCCTGTTAGTCTATATCACCAAAAAACCAAGGAGTACTTGTGGCACCTTAGAGATTAACATCTATTTGGGCATAAGCTTTCGTGGGCTAAAACCCACTTCATTGGATGCATGCAGTGGAAAATATATCTTCCTACTGCATTTTCCACTGCATGCATCCGATGAAGTGGGTTTTAGCTCACGAAAGCTTATGCCCAAAAAGGTCTAAAGCTGTCTGAACATACTCAAGGATGTCACAGATTTTGCTGGTCCAGACGGAATTCAACCAATATTCTAGATAACAAAACATTTACATACTTAACATGAATTTATATTAACACAATTTTAGCATGATTTACACTGTTACCAGAGTTTAAATCTGCTGCTTTATGCAGAGTGCTCTCACCTTGATTTGACAAAATTTAACAGACCGGGGCAACATGCAAAAAAAGAGACATTAGCCCATGAATCAGAGGACTGCAGGGTAGGTAGAACATGGGAATTAATACATCCCCCATTGTTACCCCTGACTGCACAAACATTAATAAGAGCAAGACAACCATGAAAGTTCAATAGAGCTTCTTTGCAATCCCCCACTTAATCAGTAAGAAACAGATTCCTCTGCAATAATATGCTGAAGACTTCAAGATTAGCAGAGAACATCCATCCCTTTTAATGGTCTATGCAGAGATACATGAAGATGCTAGGATTTGAACAATATGGTTATGAGAGACTGCACCACAGAGAACATAAATGTAAACATTATAACTGAGTTTGATTTTTAGTAAAAGTGATTTCAGTACAAACCCTTTTTTCAAACTACTTATTTTCATAAAAGCATGTACAATAAAATATGTACATAAACAGGTTAGAAACATTTGAAAGACTTATAAAAGTACATACAAGACTTAAAATATCTTGAAGTGTGCTGAAGGCACCATCGCTACTATGCTGGGAATGTGTCCTGTTTCTGATCAGCCTATCAAGGCAATATCCCTTTTCTCCTTACTCAAGAGCTCCATCCTGCAAGCAGCACACTTATCTTCAATGGGCGTGAAGACCATTCAGATCCTAATTTAGAATGTGAGACTAGTTAACGTAATTAGTGGTTCAAAAGAAAAACAATACAGCCATCCTAGAAGAGACTCTGCTGGTTGGGTCAACAACACTTGATGAAAATCTGTAGTTTACAACCTCAAATGCTGCTGCTTACTCCAGAGGTTAAAAAGAGAAAAGAAAAAATCCATACCATTTCTAAGGGTCACAAACATGCTGAAAAAGCAAGGAACTGCTCAGGCATAATTAGCTCATCAACAAAAAAGTATGCCACTTCACCAGTTTGTCCACGCAAGCAGTTGTCAATGCTGCCTATGGGGACCCTAAATGATGTCCATTCAAATGGGCAGAAAGAAAAAGGGTTCTCGATACTTACAAAACTATCTGTATTTCTGATAGTAAGTTGTATCTGTAGAGTAACTGTATAGTGGTTCTTTCCCCTAATTCTTGCTATATTTTTATGGAAAGGCAAAATATTTAATTAGTTCACCTGATGGGAAGACATTTTGACTACTATGCATTCATTTACGTTAACAAAGAGCATTTTAAAAAGAAAAATTCCTTTGAGTTTTAGATGAGAAGTCTTAACCACAGAATTACAAATCTACCAAATTAACTGGAATATTTTAATGCCATTTTTCTATTATGTATCTAGGTACAACCTAGAATGCTACTCTGCAAATTACTCGTTACAATCGTGTTTGAGGTGGTTTGTAGATCTGTGTGTTGATATTGATTAAAAATACCAACCCATTATAAATAAATAAAAAAAAAAAGGCTAACAAATCAGATTCTAAATTCTTCCACTCCTATTCTCAGCAGAGAGGAAGCAACATGATAATTTCTGGTCATCAGCAGAGCAGACTGATATGAGGTACGTCACTATTTAAAAAATATATGTATTGGTCTATTCCCCCTAGGCTGAACAAACATTTTTATACAAGGGATACTGCCATTTTAAGTTCCCACGAGTCTCATTAGGTGGCGACATTCAAAATTCTTCTTCAACAGCAAAGTGATTTTGCTTCTTCCGAACATTCCAGTGTAAACACTCAGCCAGGCTTTCAAACCAGTCGCTCACAGGATCTCGGAAACAGATCGAAGGGAGGGGATAGCAAGAGGTAGTGATGCTAATACTGCAATACAGGAATACCCTCAGTTAGTAATAAGGGAGGATAAATAGTAGTAAGACTGTACATTTGTGGTTACAGAATCAAACTGTCCTGGATTCCCAGATTTATCTTTTTCTTTCTTTAAATACACCCTTGGGACACTGGCTACATCACTAAAAATTCAACCCTTTGGAGAATGGTCAGTTTCCAAAAAGTCTGGGGGTGGCAAAGATGGGGCACAGTGCCTAAACAATACAATGAGCAGAAACAACAAGGAGTCTAACGACACCTTAAAGACAAACAGATTTATTTGAGCATAAGCTTTTGTGGGTAAAACCCCACTTCTTCAGATGCATGGAGTGAAAATTACAGATGCAGACATAAATATACTGACACATGAAGAGAAGGGAGTTACTTCACAAGTGGAGAGCCAGTGTTGACAGGGCCAATTCGATCAGGGCGGGTCGGCAGCTTTGCCTCTCCTGGAATTGACACCTCCTCATCTATTATTGGGAGTGGACTACATCCACCCTGATTGAATTGGCCCTGTCAACACTGGTTCTCCACTTGCGAGGTAACTCCCTTCTCTTCATGTGTCAGTATATTTATGTCTGCATCTGTAATTTTCACTCCATGCATCTGAAGAAGTGGGGTTTTTACCCACAAAAGCTTATGCTCAAATAAATCTGTTTGTCTTTAAGGTGCCATCGGACTCCTTGTTGTTTTTCTGGATACAAACTAACACGGCTATTCCCTGGTACTTGTCACAGTGAGCAGAGTGCTTTACAAATGTTGAGATCAAAGCTCTTGGGAGCAGAGGGTTCTAGGCCAATCTGCCTTGCCCACGACCCTCTCTCATCTTACTCCTTGCTGGGGTTTAACAACCTCACCTTTGGACCAACTCAAAATTTAACGTCTTAAAATATTAAACTGTCACCATGATCCTCAAATTTCAAAAATAAGGGCAGCAAATACTAAAGAGTCTAACTTTTCTACTTAAGGACCAATCACCAAATCTAAGATTGGGATCTCTGACTCTTGCTGTCCACCTAATCTGTCCATCCCCTCCATTCTTCAAGTGGTCAGGGCAATACAGAAGACTCCAAGTGCAAGATCCTGGCAATTTTCCAATTCCCTGCCTGCCCACAAATATGAAACAAAGGCAGCGTGTCACACAGCATGACTGGTCTATGAAGGAAAACACCACACTAAGCAGAAGACAATTTTGGGTTTCTTCTTAGCGTATCCTCTCTGGGCTCTCACACTTCATTGTATCTATAAAGAGGTTAAGTTCTTTCAGCTACAGCACTGTGTCTCATGAGTTGCAGAATCCTGTCACTAAACGTAGCAAGGGCCCATCAATGCATCTGCTGTTGTATAAGTTTATTTGAGCACAACAAAGGGATACATCTGCTCTTTTTGATGTTTTATCAGCCTTGCCAATGGCACAGGACACAAACATGGTCTTATCCTGAGAGGTACAGAGTACATGAAATTCACATTCCCTTCACTGTACTCAACAGGTCTCACGATCAGGACCGGTTTCAGAGTAACAGCCGTGTTAGTCTGTATTTGCAAAAAGAAAAGGAGCACTAGTGGCACCTTAGAGACTAACCAATTTATTTGAGCATAAGCTTTCGTGAGCTACAGCTCACTTCATCAGATGCATCCAATGAAGTGAGCTGTAGCTCACAAAAGCTTACGCTCAAATAAATTGGTTAGTCTCTAAGGTGCCACTAGTACTCCTTTTCTTTTTATGATCAGGACCATAACTTGAAGTCCACAGAATTCTTTAAGGACATGCATTAAGTAATGTTTGTATGATTTTTCCTGACACTTCATTGCTTTTAAAATTGACATTGCTTTTAAAATGTAATTGAAAAAAAATTATTTTCAAGTGAGAAAATGCCTGAAACAATATAGCATTTTTAATTCAGCTTGAAATTTAAGGGTCACGATGGTCTATCATAAAGGCTCCAATCATTTCCCTACTAACCCTAACCCAAGTTTGAAAGTGTGGCCGCAGATACTTGTGTCAATATTACAAAGGAAGATGATAACAGTCAAAGAAAAATCTTTACCTGTCTCCATGGCAGACTTCCTGTCTCTTCCTCCCATCAAATGAAACCCATGCTGTGTTCCTGGCATCTGGGGACAGCATGATCTGAGGAAGAGTAAAGCAGAAGACTTAAGACTGAAATAATTACAAGAGCTTTTGTAGCTAAAGGGCAAAGAGGAAGCACTCCCCTGAATATTACACTTTGTTATTACTCTTCAGTGATCTAACTGTTGTACTGAAATTTAGCTTCCTCTCCTGCCATTTTTTACTGAAAGGTTTGGCATATTATGGATAAAAGTTTAATATTTTATATACAATTTACTTCATATGCAGCATATATGTCCCCTTGTTATATATGTACATTGGAGCCTTTTCCTAATGATGGCAATAAGCTGATTTACCAAAGGCATCCCAGTTACAAAAGACCTGAGCTGATAAAGAAGTCAATACATGACCCAATTCAATGAGATGAGATTATGAAATTCTCTGCAGACAGAGTCTAATCTGCATTCTAGAATGATACATTTGAACTTTGATGCAGGGTGAATCTAAGGCTTGCAAATTTAAAAACAGTTTTTCTTTTAAATAAGACATGCCATAAAGTGATCAACTACCACCATAATAGCATCATCATCTACTGTGTAAATAATTGTGGGTTTATAGAGATGCCATTAATAAGTAACGAATCCATGAAGCAAAAATGTATCATTTCTTTAAACTCTACCCTGCACTCTCCTGGCCACATTTTCTGCCCCGCACCCCTCTAAGAAATAACCCAAGACTTCCATATTATAGATTACTATATAACTGAAACAGTTATATAAATTAATAAACACAAAACACCTGACATTCATTTTTTGAACTCAAAAATGTATTTGTGAAAACAAAATCCACTTTGTACTAAGACCTTGCCTGTCAAACTTTTCAGCAGAACTATATTATTTAAATCACAGCAGTAAAAGACAAAGAGAGTTTATAACAGATGTGCTGATACCACTTTCACTGCACACCCGTGAAAGCTGTGATACTACTTTTGACACCAGGTTCTGATCCTTCACTGCCTTTCACCTTGTGTAGTCATCTACATCTATGCAAAATGGATATAGAACACTTACTAATTAGAATGGTAGTGTATTTACACCCACTCTGCACAGGTACAGATGACTATATAATGTGCAAGTCAGTGGAGACTCATGGTCTAGAAGTTTATTCTTCTAAGCAAGTATATGTTGCTTCAAGAGTACTTTACAAAGTTCTACAGTATTCAGTAATGTTTTGCCATGGTGGATAATAATGAACACATTCTACCCCCTTGTTTTTTTTCCAGTTTCAATAGTTATCGCCACAAGTTTCTATCTTTAAAAAACGAAAGAACACAATTTAACCTTGAGCTCAACTCCTGCAGGAACAACAATGGGTCTGAAGGACAGTGAGTGAGGGCAGATTGGGGTGATCATTATTGCAGGAACATTTGGATGAATCATAGATGCTCCTGCTGCAGCCGCATAAGCCGTGCTACCAGTTGGTGTGGAGACAATCACTCCTGTGAAGGGAACAAAAGTTTTATAAATGTGGCTGCTTGGCTTGATGCTGTTATTTAAAAGGAGGCCAAGAAACAGGACTGTTGCACTCCCTCCATTTGAAAATACTTTAAAAAAAAAAGAGCTCTTTCCAACTTTAGTCATTAGCTGGATTTCTCCTCCACTCAACACAGGTATAGTAGAGACCGAAATTTTTAGCTAAATGCTTTAAAAGATTGCTTATAAAAAGTTAAATTGGTGAAATGGAAACGTCTAAACCACAAACTCACATTTCATATGACAGGAGTGGTAATAAACACATAACCAGGAGTCAGAGACATCTTTCCAAACCGAGCACTGACACAGACTACACCTCTAAAGCCTTGGGCGAGTCAAACAGAACTACTGTGCCTCAGCTTGCACTTTTGTATAACACAGATCTATTTACTTTCCTTAGAGGGATAGGAGGATTCAATTTTTTGAAGAGCTTTGCAGGTGAAGTGCTAATATTAAATAAGTAGTGACTTCATTAAAAAATCTTAAGATTGCAGCAAACTCAGACATCCAACTCCAGGATCTTCCCAAACCGTTTTTTCCCCCCTTGCCTTTTGTCCCTAATTCCCCTACACAAACAAGTGGAGACTTGACACCAGGCCTCCACAAAATAAGATACAATCTGTAAGCCTCTTTTCTGCTTTCAGTGCTGCTCTATGGACTGCAACAATTGTTTAAATGAAACTTACCACTCCTCTGCAGACCTAGTTTTCAACAACCCAGGAGCAGAAGCCAAGGTCTTGATTTCTACCTCATAAAACAATGCACCCTTTTTTAAAAAAGTAGGCGCAACCTAAGTAAGAGCTGATTAGCCTGTCCCAGTCTTAACAGTATGAGGTATAGGCTTTTTGATTATGAAACGGACTTACCGTCACCTTGCACTGTGGTTATGAGGTGTCCATTTAGAAAAACATCCACATTGGAAAGGTAGGAGGAAGGACCTCGATCCACTACAACTTCATTTAGGACCTGACATAATGTACAATACCACTAATTATTTCCCTGGAAGCATAATATTTGACAAGTGACTAGTTAAGTACGTCTCCCAGATCTTTGAAAGGTTAACCCCCACCCACCCACCCCATTACAATGTCAGTTTAGCTTAGTCCTGGAGTCACATACTTTTGTTTTAGATTATTTGGTGCAATGGATCAAAAATTAGCTAAAGGGCAAAGAGGAAGCACTCCTCTGAATATTACACTTTGTTATTACTCTTCAGTGATCTAACTGTCGTACTGAAATTTAGCTTCCTCTCCTGCCATTTTTTACTGAAAGGTTTGGCATATTATGGATAAAAGTTTAATATTTTATATACAATTTACTTCATATGCAGCATATACGTCCCCTTGTTATATATGTACATTGGAGCCTTTTCCTAATGATGGCAATAAGATGATTTACCAAAGGCATCCCAGTTACAAAAGACCTGAGCTTGATAAACAAGTCAATATATGACCCAATTCAATGAGATGAGATTATGAAATTCTCTGCAGACAGAGTCTAATCTGCATTCTAGAATGATACATTTGAACTTTGATGCAGGGTGAATCTAAGGCTTGCAAATTTAAAACAGTTTTTCTCTTAAATAAGAGATGCCATAAAGTGATCAACTACCACTATAACAGCATCATCATCTACTGTGTAGATAATTGTGGGTTTATAGAGATGCCATTAATAAGTAACAAATCCATGAAGCAAAAATTTATCACTTCTTTAAACTCCACACTGTACTCTCCTGGCCACATTTTCTGCCCCACACTCCTCTAAGAAATAGCCCAAGACTTCTATATTATAGATTACTATATAACTGAAACAGTTATAAGAAAAGGAGTACTTGTGGCACCTTAGAGACTAACCAATTTATTTGAGCATAAGCTTTCGTGAGCTACAGCTCACTTCATCGGATGCATACTGTGGAAAGTGTAAAAGATCTTTTTATACACACAAAGCATGAAAAAATACCTCCCCCCACCCCACTCTCCTGCTGGTAATACCTTATCTAAAGTGATCACTCTCCTTACAATGGGTATGATAATCAAGTTGGGCCATTTCCAGCACAAATCCAGGTTCCCCCCCCACAAACCCACTCTCCTGTTGATAATAGCTTATCTAAAGTGATCACTCTGCTTACAATGGGTATGATAATCAAGGTAGGTCATTTCCAGCACAAATCCAGGGTTTAACAAGAACGTCTGGGGGTGGGGGGGGGAGGTGTAGGAAAAAACAAGGGGAAATAGGTTACTCTGCATAATGACTAAGCCACTCCCAGTCTCTATTCAAGCCTAAGTTAATTGTATCCAATTTGCAAATGAATTCCAATTCAACAGTCTCTCACTGGAGTCTGGTTTTGAAGTTTTTTTGTTGTAATATCGCAACTTTCATGTCTGTAATCGCGTGACCAGAGAGATTGAAGTGTTCTCTGACTGGTTTATGAATGTTATAATTCTTGACATCTGATTTGTGTCCCACAGTATGCATCCGATGAAGTGAGCTGTAGCTCACGAAAGCTTATGCTCAAATAAATTGGTTAGTCTCTAAGGTGCCACAAGTACTCCTTTTCTTTTTGCGAATACAGACTAACACGGCTGTTACTCTGAAACCTGAAACAGTTATATAAATTAATAAACACAAAACACCTGACATTCATATTCTGAACTCAAAAATGTATTTGTGAAAACAAAATTCACTCTGTACTAAGCCAAAAGCCAGTTCTCATTGGCATTGATGGATTTTCCTTTTGCTTATATGAATCAGTGGGAGATTCAGTGGTAAAGATTACTATGAGTAATTTTTTTGTTTTGAAAAGGTAAGGAAACCTCTGGTGCAGATACAGAATATTACAGAAATTAAACACAATGAGGTTGCTTCTGCACACTCCACCCACCCTTCCTTCATTATCCTTAGTAACCATTCTGGAAATTATGTGGAAGCAGATAGCATAGATGTTATAATACTGGGTTAATATCATTGGGTGTAGATACAGTATGCAAAAGAGAACTGGTGATTATCTCAAGTGAAGAGTGAATTATTTCTTAGTTCTTTTGCTTATTTCCTATTTTATGCTATTCAGACTCTGACCTGATATTGCATGATTTGCTTGCCCATTTCCATCTCTAGACTTGTAGAGATCACTCCATTTTCTTCAATACCATTTTGTATCAATGTCTTCTTCTCTCTGTGTTCCTTTACTACTTTCACTTTCAATCTGCTCCGGAGAACAAGCGCTGCATTGCCTATAAGAAAAAAATAAAACCACACACACTAGAGAGTGGCACCTACTACATTATCAGGAACTGCACCATTTGCACAGCAAGCTGGTAGCATTCACTGTGAAACGTTTTTCCCCATTTTTCAGTTGCTCATTTCTCAAGTTTCTTTTGCAGGAGAATTTTCCATCCTTTGTCTTAATTCAAAACAGAATTTTTTTTTTAAAGGAATGAGCAAAACTTGAGTCAAATTTGAGTAACACAAGCATAAAAACCCACTTTCCCACATACGTTGTAATGAGAAATCTGAGAATTTACATGTACATAACCTAAAGCTGCTGAACCTAGCAACCTTGCATTTGGCTTGTTTGATAATCCTCAGGGAGACATAAGACAGACAAAAATGAAGACAATCAGTTCATTTTTAAAAAGGTATGAACTCTGAAAGACAACAATTTAGCAACATGAGAATCCTGTTAATATTTTTGGATGTCTTAATTTTGGGATGCAAGCTGAGCAGCTTTATTTCTCAGCGACCAGTGCCAGCAGCTTTTTTTCCTTTTCTTTTATTTCAAACACAACTTAAATACCAAGAACTACTGTAAATGCAACTTTCAGGTTGAGAAATCAAGCACTCAAGAGTCAAACTTCGAAAGTTAAGATTTCTCCTTCAGTGCTAAGGCACACAGCTCATGATTTTCTATTCCCATTTTCCATATTCGGTGTAAACTTGACTGGTTTACTATTTAACAACATATCAATAGGCCAGATTAGATTCACAACATAACGTTCAAGAAGGAACTTTAATTTTTGGGGAAAAAGTAAGTACTTGTGGTACCTTAGAGACTAACCAATTTATTTGAGCATAAGCTTTCGTGAGCTACAGCTCACTTCATCAGATGCATACTGTGGAAACTGCAGAAGACATTATATACACAGGTTTCAGAGCAACAGCCGTGTTAGTCTGTATTCGCAAAAAGAAAAGGGAGTACTTGTGGCACCTTAGAGACTAACCAATTTATTTGAGCATAAGCTTTCGTGAGCTACAGCTCACTTCATCCGATGCATACTGTGGAAACTGCAGAAGGAGTTTTTTTTTTTTTGCGAATACAGACTAACACGGCTGTTACTCTGAAACCTGTCATTGTAAGGAGAGTGATCACTTTAGATAAGCTATTACCAGCAGGAGAGTGGGATGGGAGGAGGTATTGTTTCATGGTTTCTGTGTATATAATGTCTTCTGCAGTTTCCACAGTATGCATCCGATGAAGTGAGCTGTAGCTCACGAAAGCTTATGCTCAAATAAATTGGTTAGTCTCTAACGTGCCACAAGTACTCCTTTTCTTTTTGCGAATACAGACTAACACGGCTGTTACTCTGAAACCTTTAATTTTTGGAGTTTTCTGACTTTTGGATGCTTGATTTCTTACCATTTTAACTTGGCATTGTTTACAAAAACTAAGAAGTTACATGTGGTGGGGTCATCTACTGTATGTCCATGCGATTAGATATAGGTTTTTGCATTTTATATTCAGATTGTGCAAAACATTAGTTCTATATTCTTTCCTTACACACCACAACCAAGCAAGGAGTGATTTCTGGACCATTCCAACTTTTCAAATCAGCGAGGAAAACGATATTGAAAGTTAAATATCTATTTATTTATGTATTATAGGACTCAGCTGAGTCCTACTTTAAAGAAAAACTAACAGGACAAATAAAGGATAACTCTCTAAAAAGCAGCAAAGGCATCAGAAGGCTTACCTTCTATAACTTGAGTAACTTGGGACTGAAAGTTCTCGAAGTTAAAGGGGGTGAGAAATCCAAGAGATCCCAGATGAAAAGCCATAACTGGAGGTACGCTGCCCTGTCCATAAAAAGAAGAATTGGGAAGCTGTTAAATGTTGCACAAATCAAACATTTATGTTATTTCCATGATTTTTAATGTATAAGAGGTACCATATTACAGCCCAGTCTGTCTGCAAATATCTTAATTATGGGTTTTACTTCAGTTGTGCATAATAGTAAAAGACAAAGGTATAATTCACCTAAGTAGCTCTCATGCTTTTTGAATGAGAAGGAGAGACTTGGCAGGAGCAGAATAAAATAAACACAACTTGGCAGAAAACTTCAAGATTGTCTCTAACATAGAGGACTTGATTAGGGAAAGGACCTCTAATTACTATTCCCTATAGGACTCACCTGAAAAAGTGAAGAAGCATAAAGCAAGGTACCATCTCCTCCCAGGCATATGATAAAGTCTATCTGATTGGAGATATCATCATAATCTAGAGGATAACATTGAAAATAAAGGTTTAATTTACATAATGTGTCACAGGTTTCAATTTATGGAATAAATTTGGTGCAGCACACTGATGCTAATTTACATGTGTAAATGATTGACACTATCAAAATAGCTACATGGGTTTATCAAGGATAGGTTTCCATCAGACAATTCTGATTCATTTGAATGGATCACTAAGGAAACAGAATAAAAAGGCAGTAAACCTAGATTTTAAGAAATCATTTCTGTACCTTCTCTGAAAGTGCAAAATTTCTTCTTCACTGGTCCAAAATTATCATCATTAACTATGGCTGGGTCTTCTAGCACTTTTTTTTCTACATAAACTATCATGTTGTTCTCCTAAAAGAAGCATAATTATTTACTAAAAAAAAATCTGTTCATGAAATGACAAGCGCCTGAGCAATATTCTATTAGTTTACAATGATTTAAATTACATATGATTATGTAAAATCTTACAAGACTGATTGCCTACTTCTGTATGTATGGTTACAATTCTGCAGCATTTAAGCATAACACTTATTGTCATATGAAGGCCACATAATGATTGAATTAATGAAACTAAACTTCGGAATTTTCATTACATGCCTGTGATATGGTAACACTGCTATGTTTTCTAATATTTTTTCTCAAGGCATAATCAAATGAATATTTTACCCTATTCATCTACGTTAAAGAAGCAGATTCCTTTAAGCTAAATTAAGCTGAGCTCTTATAGCAAGAGTAACTTGTTTTAAAAAGTTTACTAATTTATTATTTCTGTTGTTCTCTATATGTATTGACTTATTCATACAATTCTACGTACTCCTTCTGCAAGAAAGCTAATACATACAAGTTAAATATGAGATGGTTATACTGTAACTATGCAAAAAAGTAAACGCTCACAATTTGAATTACCTCAGTAAGATAGACACAGAGTTCTTTAAAAGGCTGTAGCAGACTGGCATCGCGAATCTTTTTGATAACAAGGACACTCTTTGGAGGTTTGTTCCATGTCAACCGCTGACTTGCTGGGTCCTGAATATGCCTGTGGAGGGAAATCAACAGTATAACTATTATATGTGGGAAAACGGATTGTAATTTCTTGACTATCAAGTTAACAGTCCCCTTTTAGTCAAAGTATACTGGACTGAAAGAGAGGTGAATAAATCATGAAAAACCTTAATATTATAGCTAAATTTAATCTAGTAAAGAGACCAGACTGGCTACAATGCAATGCCACACCAGCTTTCAGCAAATATGTAATTGCACTTTTCATTGAGAACATTCTGTTCAGTCTTTATTAAGAAAACGTTCTAAGTTTTAATCACGAGAGGTCCGGAAAGATGCAACTAAACAATTATACAGTGATTTATAACGAAAGCAGTTTTCTTGGAGCCAAACAGCACTGCTTTATACTGTATAGGGTTCTGACTAGATGGACCATTTTTCTGCCCCAATATAGCAATTCTTATTTCCCCCTAAGTTGACAGACTAAAGTAATATTAAGGTGCCTACTCCTACAGGTACAAACATGCTAGAGAAGTTTGAGAACATGGGTCCTTTGTTTCTGGTGGGAGCATAATGATAGCTACTAAAGCCCTTTCTTGAACTACCAGACCACTCCACTCAGGGTGTGTCTACACAGCAACTAGGTTCCCAGTGCTGGCCCGTGCCAGCTGACTTAGGCTAGGGTCGCCGGGCTGTTTCAGAGCTGTGTAGACTTCTGGGCTTGACCTGCAGCCCAAGCTCTGGGAACCTCCTGCCTTGCAGATCCCAGAGCCAGGACTGCAGCCTGAGCCCAGAAGTCTACACAGCCCTGCGACAGCCCTGCAGCCTGAGCCCTGTGAGTCCAAGTTGGTTGGCATGGGCCACCCACAGGTGTGTAGATGCTGTGTAGACATACCCTAACAGACTTCCAGCAACTGTGCTCCCCGTCTCTTGCATTAGGGGCCACTCCACTTGGACTATCAGAGTGGTGAAGCATTAAAATGAAAATCTGAGGAAGCAGTAACATGAAAGACTACCTATGCTTTTCTTCCAACACTATAATATTCAGCACGGGTCTATATCAATCTAAAGAACAGTAAACACAGTTTTAATCAATGAGACTCTCAATCTTAAATCATTAAAACCAAAACAAGTCAAGAATTGTAAAAGGGAAGTTTTAAATATTTCAGCTCTAGTCTGGGAAGTTACCTACGTAAACATTTTATATTTCCTCTTGGGAGATATTACAATAGTGCTATTCAGAAGGCATAACTAATTAGCTTAGCTAAACAGCTGTTCACTTGATTCTATTCCTACACAAAAACTTCACTAAGGTTCTTGCTGGATGAGAGTGCATATTTTCCTTAAAAAAAAAAAAAAAAAATTTTACTGTCCAAGTCACTTTGTCAAACTCACTTCTAATTTTACAAAAAGAACCTTAGCCTCAGATCTAATCTAACAATTAGACTAATATAACTTTTTGTGGATTTTTTGGGAAGGAAAAAATCTGTAATGGAACCTCAGTTGCAACCCTAAATATGAAGCAACAACTGTGGCTCCATAATACATTTAGCTGATTTAGGGAACACATCTACATTCTGCTCTATTTCTTTAGCTAAAGCTAAGTAAATCATTTTACACTTGTCCTTAGCAGTTTATAAGCATCTCATCTTTTTCCATATGCTGTAGATGTAATCTAGGCAGAAAAGTGGATTAATGCAAATGCTGAACAAGCCAAATTTGCAAACATATTTGGAATAGCCATCTTTTGATAGAGGGTTAAAAACAAACACAACTGTTTTATATCCCCTAGCATCTCCAAAATACATAGGGTCAAAGTTTCATGAAGCTATCCTGAATTGCGAGATAAAAGTTGAAAAGATCAGCTCCTATATCCAGAATTGCTTATACGTATATTGTATGTACATATGTAGCATTAACTACAGACTGTAGTGAAATACCGAAACACCAAGTACACAGTCACTGACAAACAGTACTGTAGTTTTTATATAGATGTAACAGAATGTAAAAGTGAGAACAGGGATCAGAACTCATTTACCCCATACCATCTACAAGGTCTTCAGTTTCCTCCATCCTTTTCTCCACTATATTTAATCCTATTAGATGTTTTAGTTTTGAAGACAAAGAATTGTGTTTCAAAGGTCATCACAAACTAAGGTAACTACACACTTCAAAATCTCCTCTAATTTCACCATCCAACTACTAACTGAACTGTTATTAAAAATAAATCCTGAAGGAGTAAGGAACTGAACAATGAAGAAAAGTCACAAGCAACACATTTGAGATTAATTTTGAATTGCTGCAAAAATAATTGCAAAGGGAAAAGGGATTCAAATTTTACAAGTCATTTTCAACATTAATGACCACGAAGGAAGCAGTGTTGTTTCTCCTCTACAAGTTTTCAGAAAGTAAATTAGAATATCCTCATCTCTGTAACAAAGAAACAGGATAAAGACATTTCAACATAATCAGGCTGGTTCTCTGTCAGATTGTATCAGTACGATGTCACTTAGTAATCTGAGAACACATCGGAACTCATATGGACTTTATTCAAACAAACAAGACAAACAGCTTATTATTTCACTGTACTCACCATTTCCGTGCAGTTCTATTAAACGAGGGATCATGCATAACATGCTTAAAGATTTTCATGGCTTTCTTCAAAAGTTGTGCAAGTGCAATAAACAGAACTCCAGAAAAGGCCTTGACCTAATCATTTTTAACTGAACTGCTACCTTAAACAAATCATTTTTGTCTGAAGTTGATATCCAGGTGAACGTTTCAAATAGTCCTGATAAAATGTTTTTGCTGCTTCACAGAAAAATTCCTTATACAAGTGCTACAAAAAAAGTATTTAGACACATCCTAATGTCTTTCATTTGCAAAACCCCCTTTCAAAGAAGTTTAACTGAGACTAAAAGCTACCAAAAATATAGTATTTGACTTCATTAAAATTCATTCCATTCAGTCATTTCAATAGCTTTTTCACAAACAAACTCTTCAATTCTGTCAAACACTAGAACTGAAAAAGACTCAGATTTTGTGCTTTTATATAAAGTGCTGCCTTCGCACTCTAGTGTAGGATTTTCTGTTACATTCCTCTTGCAGAAAGTATTTTAAATGACAATCAGAAAAATAGCTGACTTTAAAAATACAATTCTTAAAAGCTGAAACTATCATTTACAGTTTAGATTTCTAAACAGCCTTTCACTCTGATGACCTGAGAATGTCCTTATCTCCCCAGCAATTCTGAACACTGCATGAGCTGTCTTTTTCTTGGCAATCAGAGCGCTCTTAGTACTGCCTACAGTCTCTGTACTGGACTAATCTTGACGTACTATCATTATATTGTACAGCTCTGGGTCAGCCCATGGGGAGGAGTATATTTGCCACAATCAGGTGGTGAAATACATGATGTAAGCAAAACTTTAAACAAATTACAGTCTGAGCCACAGACTCCTGCTGACAGAGGGCATAAGGAAGTTAAAGACCTGCCTGCAGATCACAATTTCCTCCACACCCTCACTGGAAAAATCACCAACACACTTTGAGGAAAAATTACTACTTTAAATGCACATTTAAAAATCCAGATCACTTTACTTTGGAGCCGCGATCGGCCGAACCTGCAGACGCGGCAGGTAAACAAACCGTCCTAGCCTGCCAGGGGCTTTCCCTGCACAAGCAGTGGAACAAGTCTGGGAACCACTGAATTACAGTAACAGTGCACCCACCAACTTATTTTAAAGAGGTGTTTACCAAGATAGTTAGTCCAAATTGGTATTTACCTTCTCTCTCATCCTACTCCTGTTTACCAAATTAGGAATGAATTCAGCGTCTTCTCAAGAGAAATAGGCATAATTTTTATGCTATGCAACCGATGTCCACTGGCCAAGACCACCTGAAGAATTGAAGTAATGCCTTATTTCTGCACTCACTTTACCAGCAGTGCATGAGGTAAGCAAAACTGCCAGGCTGAGCTGAGTTTCACCTACAGCAGGTGTCACACGCAAAGCTCAATTCGTGAACTGCAACTACAGTATTGTAACTCTAGCACTATCAGCCTGAAACTAAGCAGCACAGGGGAAGAAGCATTTACCACACCATGATACCAATTAGCAGTTTCTGCACTTCACAATGCCTATGCAAATCTTTGTCTCTCCCCCCTCTTTAAATGGAGAAAAATGCCAGTTTATAGGTAGAGTAACACAAGAATCCCAACAGTAAGGAATAAAAGAAAGGATGCCGCTCACAAACAGGGAAGAAATGGTAAAAGAAGTAGAAGTGGGTGGCAACCTGGGCAGCAGTAACCATGAGATGGTCGAGTTCAGGATCCTGACAAAAGGAAGAAAAGAGAGCAGCAGAATACAGACCCTGGACTTCAGAAAAGCAGACTTTGATTCCCTCAGGGAACTGATGGGCAGGATCCTCTGGGAGGCTAATATGAGGGGGAAAGGAGTACAGGAGAACTGTCTGTATTTTAAAGAAGCTGTATTGAGGGCACAGGAACAAACCATCCCGATGTGCGGAAAGTATAGCAAATATGGCAGGCAACCAACTTGGCTTAACAGAGAAATCTTCGGTGAGCTTAAACACAAAAAGGAAGCTTACAAGAAGTGGAAACTTGGACAGATGACTAGGGAGGAGTATAAAAATATTGCTCGAGCATGCAGGTGTGTAATAAGGAAGGCCAAAGCACAATTAGAGTTTGCAGCTAGGAAGGGATGTGAAGGGTAACAAGAAGAATTTCTACAGGTATGTTAGCAACAAAAAGGTGATCAAGGGAAATGTGGGACCCTTACTGAATGGGGGAGGCAACCTAGTGACAAATGATGTGGATAAAGCTGAAGTACTCAATACTTTTTTGGCTTTGGTCTTCAGAGACAAGGTCAGCTCCCAGACTGCTGCACTGGGCAGCACAGTATGGGGAGGAGGTAAGCAGCCCTCAGTGGTGAAAGAACAGGTTACAGGCTATTTAGAAAAGCTGGACATACACAAGTCCATGGGTCCGCATCTAATGCATCCAAGGGTGCTGAGGGAGTTGTCTGATGTGATTACAGAGCTGGGAAGAAAGTGGTGTATTCCTAAAACACTTTGTTAAAGCAACCTCTAAAGAAATGTAACCCAGATAACTGGCTGCTGTCAGTAACAGCACAAGAAAAGCTAGTTAAACATAGGGGGTAGCAGAAATATGACTCTGAAATAATGCATAAATGTGATTTTTTAAGTTGACAAAAAAATATGAATCACAAACACAGATATAGGATGAGTAAACCAATGACTTTACAAGACTGTATTTATATGTTTTTCTAAATCACAAAGATTAAGCTAATAAGCACACTGATTTTACTGATTTTAGTCCAGTTCAATGTACACTATCTGTCCTCCTCACAAGATGTTTTTTCAGGGCTTGTGTGGTGCAAATGGTACATAGATTTTTGGCTGCATCAGACTCCACACAGGCACTTCTTAAGCTAACTGAAAAAATCTTTGTTTAAGCACTGGGTAAAATACAGTGGATATTGATTAAAAACACAGATCAAGATATTCTCCTGAATGTAGGATGAAAATACTGTGCATTTTAAAAAGAGGCACTTACATTATAGTTTTAGGGTTTTGCAGCATACATGCCTTTGGTCCAAATGTGGTCACTGGGCATGGTCCATGCAAGGAGCGTGTCCTCCTGAAAAATGAAACACATGTAAGGGAAAGCTGAAGTAGGAATGAATTATATTCATTATCCAAATTACCTGTTTCTTTGAAGTAGTTAATGCTAAAAAAGGAAAGGTGGGGGAAATTTCATTTCTAAAGTCTCAGTATGCAGCTGATCAGCAAGTCAACGTAATTCTGTACAAAAAACTGCACACACAAAGTTAAAATGCAGTTGCTGTTATCTACGGGGCTGCATTTGAGCACCATATGTTGTCTTCAGTGATTATTGCAGTTGAAGCATTAGTAGAAGCTCATCTAGACTGTGTATTGAATATTTCTACATAGCATATGACTACACTTCTAGTATCCTAGTACCAAATAGACTTAGGGGTATGTCTACACTACGGAATAAGGTCGAATTTATAGAAGGCGGTTTTTTAGAAATCGGTTTTATATATTCGAGTGTGTGTGTCCCCACAGAAAATGCTCTAAGTGCATTAACTCGGCGGAGTGCTTCCACAGTACCAAGGTTAGAGTCGACTTCCGGAGCATTGCACTGTGGATAGCTATCCCACAGTTCCCGCAGTCTCCGCTGCCCATTGGAATTCTGGGTTGAGATCCCAATGCTTGAAGGGGCTAAAACATTGTCGCGGGTGGTTGTGGGTACATATCGTCAGGCCCTCCTTCCCTCCCTCCCTCCATGAAAGCAAGGGCAGACAATCGTTTCACGCCTTTTTTCCTGAGTTACCTGTGCAGACGCCATACCACGGCAAGCATGGAGCCCGCTCAGGTAACCGTCACCCTATGTCTCCTGGGTGCTGGCAGACGCGGTACGGCATTGCTACACAGTAGTAGCAACCCATTGCCTTCTGGCAGCAGACGGTGCAGTACGACTGGTAGCCGTTCTCGTCGTGTCCGAGGTGCTCCTGGCCACGTCGGCTGGGAGCGCCTGGGCAGACATGGGCGCAGGGACTAAATTTGGAGTGACTTGACCAGGTCATTCTCTTTAGTCCTGCAGTCAGTCCTATTGAACCGTCTTATGGTGAACAGGCAGGCGATACGGATTGCTAGCAGTCGTACTGTACCATCTTCTGCCGAGCAGCCATGAGATGTGGATGGCATGCAGTCCTTCTGCACCGTCTGCTGCCAGCCAAAGATGTAAAAGATAGATGGAGTGGATCAAAACAAGAAATAGACCAGATTTGTTTTGTATTCATTTGCTTCCCTCCCTCCCCTGTCTAGGGGACTCATTCCTCTAGGTCACACTGCAGTCACTCACAGAGAAGGTGCAGCGAGGTAAATCTAGCCATGTATCAATCAGAGGCCAGGCTAACCTCCTTGTTCCAATAAGAATAACAACTTAGGTGCACCATTTCTTATTGGAACCCTCCGTGAAGTCCTGCCTGAAATACTCCTTGATGTAAAGACACCCCCTTTGTTGATTTTAGCTCCCTGAAGCCAACCCTGTAAGCCGTGTCGTCAGTCGCCCCTCCCTCCGTCAGGGCAACGGCAGACAATCGTTCCGCACCTTTTTTCTGTGCGGACGCCATACCAAGGCAAGCATGGAGGCCGCTCAGCTCACTTTGGCAATTAGGAGCACATTAAACACCACACGCATTATCCAGCAATATATGCAGCACCAGAACCTGGCAAAGCGATACCGGGCGAGGAGGCGACGTCAGCGCGGTCACGTGAGTGATCAGGACATGGACATAGATTTCTCTGAAAGCATGGGCCCTGCCAATGCATGCATCATGGTGCTAATGGGGCAGGTTCATGCTGTGGAACGCCGATTCTGGGCTCGGGAAACAAGCACAGACTGGTGGGACCGCATAGTGTTGCGGGTCTGGGACGATTCCCAGTGGCTGCGAAACTTTCGCATGCGTAAGGGCACTTTCATGGAACTTTGTGATTTGCTTTCCCCTGCCCTGAGGCGCATGAATACCAAGATGAGAGCAGCCCTCACAGTTGAGAAGCGAGTGGCGATAGCCCTGTGGAAGCTTGCAACGCCAGACAGCTACCGGTCAGTTGGGAATCAATTTGGAGTGGGCAAATCTACTGTTGGGGCTGCTGTGATGCAAGTAGCCCACGCAATCAAAGATCTGCTGATATCAAGGGTAGTGACCCTGGGAAATGTGCAGGTCATAGTGGATGGCTTTGCTGCAATGGGATTCCCTAACTGTGGAGGGGCCATGAACGGAACCCATATCCCTATCTTGGCACCGGAGCACCAAGCCGCCGAGTACATAAACCGCAAGGGGTACTTTTCAATAGTGCTGCAAGCTCTGGTGGATCACAAGGGACGTTTCACCAACATCAATGTGGGATGGCCGGGAAAGGTACATGACGCTCGCATCTTCAGGAACTCTGGTCTGTTTCAAAAGCTGCAGGAAGGGACTTTATTCCCAGACCAGAAAATAACTGTTGGGGATGTTGAAATGCCTATATGTATCCTTGGGGACCCAGCCTACCCCTTAATGCCATGGCTCATGAAGCCGTACACAGGCAGCCTGGACAGTAGCCAGGAGCTGTTCAACTATAGGCTGAGCAAGTGCAGAATGGTGGTAGAATGTGCATTTGGACGTTTAAAGGCGCGCTGGCGCAGTTTACTGACTCG